TGTTGCATGCAGGCGCGGGGCTGTCGTCGGGTTTGAAGTCCGTGGGGAAGGGCGTCGCGGTTGGGGCTGCATCTCTCTTTGTTCTCCCTGCTGTGGGAGCTGCCCAGCAAGTCCGTTTCCGTTTTATGTTTCCTCGGTTTTGTCTGTTGCTCGGCTTCTCTAGTTGTCTTACATTCTGCTCGCCGAGCGAGGCTTCATTGGGGCGTTGCTGTCTAGCGCATGGGTGCAGGCTTATAGGCATCGGCATGCGTAACCATGGACACAGCATGAATCGTTGTTCATGCATGCCAGCATGCAGCATGTGCAGGGTGAGCGCGGGGTGTTGTGTTCTGCGTGTGCAGGGAGTTGGGGGTTTCTTTAAGGGCATTGGGGCTGGTGTAGTGGCTGCTGTGACTCTGCCGATAACGGGAATTTGCATCGCGGGGTATCAGGTGACGCGAGGCCTGATAAATACACCTGAAGCGATTCATGAGAAGAGCCAGGGCAAGAAGTGGGACAAGAAAGAAAGGGTGAGACAGAAACCTTTCAGCCATCTGCACAAGTGTGGCCGCCACCAATAGATCAAATGCTGGGGCTTGAAACATCCAGACGTTCCCCCTCACCTCCAGCGAAAAAAAACAGTTGTAGTACAATATTGTGCATTCCCCACAATGATATGCATCTGCGTGCATTTGCATGCATTTGCTAACGATGTTGTCTCTGTCCGTTGTTTGTGCTCGTCAGGTATGGAAGCCGAACTGGTACAGTTTACAGGAGGAGGCAGCCGAGGTGCTGAGCCAGGAGAACCCGCACAAGCGTGACGCGAACAGCAACAGCAGCAGCGGGAGCAGCAGCAGCAGCAGTAGCAGCAGCAGCAGTGGGGCACGGAAGGTCGTGGACACTACTCTGTATGAAGTGCTGGAAGTTTCGCCTGACGCGCGACCTGAAGAAATAAGGAGACAGTACTACAGGCTTGCTCGGAAGTACCATCCCGATAAAAACCCCGGCGATCCTTCTGCAAAGAAGCGCTTTCAGCAACTGGGCGAGGCGTACCAGGTGCTGGGGGAGGAGGAGAGGAGAGCTCAGTATGACTTGCACGGCCAGGCAGCAGCGCAAGATATGCCCATCATTGACAGTGGATTGTTCTTCATGATGCTCTTCGGGTCTGAGGCCCTCGAACCA